AATATCTATTCAACTCAAGCAATCTATCGAGTGATGAGCTTGTTAATTAATTGCGCGGTTTATACAATTCAGATTTTCACTACTATACATAAATTGACGTGATTAGGAGTTTGTAAAGTTTATTCATTTTTTAAATAGTAACTGCATCCCTCAAATTCAGAAAGAACTTTTGAGTTTCAATGAAATTTAATATTCCTATGCGTTTTCTGAGGCAAATCGTTTTGAAAATAATAATATTTCCTATTAGATTGAGACTGAGGAATTTATAAACTGTCAGAGAAAAGAGTAATTTATAGGAATTAGAAGGAATAGTACAAAAGGGGTAAAAATTAAAAACATTAGAATATTCCGTTTCCTTCAACACTCCACGAAACAGGTAAATATCTGAAACCATAACTTTCAGTCCTGAAACTATTCCTTCCAACTCAACTTGGTTTGTTTTTCTCAAACAAACACATAACTTATGATTTTTCCGAACTTACGATTCTTGCTTTGAGTAATCTGTCACTTTAGAACGCTTCCAATCCCATTTCCCATCTCTAACAAATGCTTAAATTTCGGGAAGAGAACAGACTGTCGTCATAAACTCTAACAGCTAGTAGTGCTCATATCTATGCTTGATTTGAAAGCTCAATAACTTATTTAAATAGAGCAGGTAAATTTTCGTATAATCATACATAAAAGGGTTACTTTTTGCAAGTTGCACTGTGAGATTTATATTGTTCAATTCTTTCTCACGGGAAATTTAGCCTTTATTCTGCTTATACCTATAAACACTCCTTACTTACCAATCGCTTTTTGCCTTCTATTCTATGAATATTTGGTCTATTTGCTTTTTATGAATTTAATAGGACGTTTTTTTTAGGAAAATTTAAAGTTTTTCAATGAATTTTTTTGGTATTTACAAGATTTCTTTAACTGCTTTTTTAATTTAAACTTATTCATAGTACTTATGGGAAAAAATTTTCCATCGAAGGACCGCATATCAAAAGAACTTCAATTTCTATCTAGAAAACTGCTTGGTGCTATTGAAATAACTGGAAATGAAAATAACTGACAAAAATGACAACTTTTCTCTCTATCCACTAATCTCTTAACAGATTTGTGCTTGTCAATGAGTGGATTAGCTTATCTTGAAATCTTCGATATTTTCCATTATTCTACTGATTGTTTCAATGCTATACGACCAATACAACTAATTTAAGTCCGTGAAACTTTGAAAGAATATACTATATTAACTGCACTTCTTATTTTGTTTATTTATCTTTCAAAAATTTGCATAGAATTTTAAAATAGATTCTTGGACTGTAAATTAAAACAAACTTAATGAACTAGGTATAGTTGAACTAGATATTGTTATGAGAAATATGAACTATGTATTGTTATAAGAAAGGGATCAATAAAGTATGATAATCGGAACTGGAAATATAGCAGTGCTCTCACTGAGTGAATCTAAATCTTCCACAAATTAATTTTTTGAACTTTATTTTCTTTTGAACTTGGACTTAGATCATGGATGGCGTTTCAGGTCAAGAATGATTATCAGTGCGTACCCCACAACTTTGGAACAGAAAATACAAGCCAGGTATACTGATTCCGAAATTTTTGATTTTTCTGGTACTCTAGCTGTTAGCGCAAACGGCATGTCAAGGACTTGTAACTGGTAATAAAAAGTGAGGATAGCTAAATAATTTTTTAATTTTTGGGATATTCTCTTCTTCGTGAATTGTCAAAAATTATTCAAAAACCAACTGGGATACCTGATAGCGATTTATGAATAGGTCATTTTAATCTCTTTAAGTTGTTAATCAAAAAAGGGGTGAAAATGAAGAATAAAATTCGGAGAGGGATTATTGAAAGAGTAAACAAAATGCAGCAAATAAAATGAACAAAGTAATTGTCCTCACAAGCAAGAAATAATGACTTCGAAATCATCATAAAATTACTGTTTGAACCTATTAAGCAGAAGTATTTTGATATTCTCGGACAACTTCTCTTACAAACTTTTGAATCATTGATAAAATATAGCTTATGTTAAACTTCCTTGG